TTTACTGGCACGATATTTACTGGCACATTAAAACCAATCAACCTAAAAAAACTAGGAGCCATCAACAATGCATGTCTTAATAAAGAGAAATATTTCATGGGTTAGTGCTCTCTATTCCACACATGTGCAATGAACGGGGCTGCTAAGAAAAATAAATCTGTGGAAACAAGGTTTAAAGTCGGTATTTTTTTTCAGTTTTCATAACAATGTCCTATTTAAGACTCCAATACTTTTTAAAAATGCAAAATACATTAATAAGACATTTTTTAAAATTTAACACATATGATATATTAAATACAAATTAACCCATACAACAATATATATATATATATATATATAGTATATATTTAATATAATAAATATATATATAAATATATATATATATATATATATATATATAATATATATATATATATATATTATATATACATACACACACACAGTGTTTAACTTACAAACGTGTAATTGATTTGCTGTCAGGTTTTTTAAACACTTTCTTAGAAGAAGAGATCAATAATTCAATAAAGTGAAATGGTGGGTGGTGTGTGTGGGGGTGGGGGGTTATTCTTTATCGCTCCCCTATGTTCTCCTATGGTTTATATCACATTTAATTGTACTGTTGATAGTGAGTGATAAAATATACACAGGTCAGAGGCTAAGGTTTAAAGTTACCTTACCTATTAGTCAAACTTCAACTTGCATACAGTAATCCCATGCATAACACATAAATTATTTAACAAGCATCTACAGTTGCATGTAACTTATGTAATAAGTTCATAATTAATCATTGAAAGATACAATTAAGATTATCACATAATTTAGAAGAAAATTAATTATTATATAAGTAGTAAACGCTGAGAGCTATGTAGACCATAATACAGAAAACACATTTTCAAATAGAAAAAAAGTGTCCTAAGTGGGAGATGATTGCTAATAGTAGATAGGAAGATAAATTATTTTTGAAATAGCACAGCATGATTTATTTAACAGTTAGGTTGTAGCAAAAAAAAATAATTATTATGTATGCTGTAAGTTAATCATCATGGTAAAGTAAATGGTAAAAGGAGAATTACCAATTAGTGTAACTGTATCAATATCAGCTATTCTAAGAATTAACTGGAACTGATTGTTAGTCTACAGGATCTTTATGATTTAACTTCGCTAAAGTTTACTGACAGGTCGATTCATTTAAGGCTATCAAGCTACCTAGAGGTCTAGCAAGCTTGAATTCAAATTTCTCTTTAGTTAAACTTAAACTTAAATTACTAGGTTCAGGTAAGATCTTTATTATTATTTACTTTAGTAGGCTAGTTACTATTTATTAAACTTCTAGCTAGCAAAGTCTAAACTTTTCAAACAGAAAAGTTTAAGTTTATTAAAGAATTAAACTTGAACTTTAATAAGCACATCTTAAAGCCTTAAGATTTAGAGGTGTGGCAGCCAAGTCAAATTTAGCTAATATTACTATTATTACTATACTATTATTATATTATAGGCTACTAATAACTTAACTTAGTAGACTCAGATCTACTTAGTAATCCAATCTGCAGGCTACTAGATTTCTAGATCTAGATCTATACAAGTATATTCTATTGATTGAGTCTATACTGGTCTATTCCAATTCTGTCTGACTACATGACCAGATCTAGATCTACCTCCTCTCCTCTACTCCCTTGCATTACAACATAGACCTAGATTCTAGATTCTATAGTCAGATAACAGTAGCAGTGTTTCTTCCAGATTTTTTTTTGGGGGGGGGGGGGGGGCACTTGATATTTTCGGAGGGGCGGTCAACATTTTCCGGGGGGCAGCGGACACTAGTAAAAGTATATTTTTACTAAATAAATTCCATCTCATTCAGGGGGGTGGGGGGGGGGGGGGTGGGGGGCGGAGCCTTTCTGAAGAGATGTCTGGAAGAAACTCTGGACATTAGTTTCTTCAGATTTATAATCAGATAGGCCTACTATATCTAGATTTAACATCTACTCCTAGAAATAAAGATCTAAAGTTAAGTTCTAGGTCTAGTCTAGTACTAAATCTGGAGCACTAGTACTAAATCTAAATCTTTAATTCTGGACCTAAAGGTTGAGTTTAATTTCAGTCTGATATCACTTTCTTAGATTAAAAAATTCAAGAGATCTAGACTAGGCCTAGATCTAGAATAAAGATCTAGAATCTAGATCTAATCTAGATCTAGATCCTAGAGATAGATGATAGATCTAGACAAGAGTAATCTAGATCTAGATCTAGTCTAACTAAACTTAGACTAGATATAGACTAGACTAGAGTAGATAGATATCTCAAACTCTAGTCTAGATCTAGCCTACAGAATACAGAACTGATGTCTCATCTACACCAGTCACTACAACTAGATCTAGAAATGATACATTATTGTCATAATCTAGATTTCTAGATCCAGATCTAGATCTAGATCTAGATTCTAGATCTAGATCTAGATCTAGAAGCTAGTTATCTGCTAGTAGATCTCTAGATTCTAAACAGATCTAGAATCGGTAATCTATCGTTTTGGGTACGTAAAATCGCCTGCGGCTATTAATGTACGAAAACGTTACCTCATTGTCAAGGCTGTAATAGAAGTATATTGTGATATGTTTGTGTCAAATATTATAGATAAATGAATAATAAACCTAAATCAATGGCTAAATATATCAATATAGGCCCGAAATTAACTTTAAACAGCAGTGTTTGCAAGCAAGATTTGCTATATAAACAGCAGCCATTTGTAAAATAGAGTGACTTCCGCCTGAATCTTGCGCTATAAGTCTATAAAAATAAAACTTTAACAAGATGGCTGCTATAGTAAATGATCATGGTTGCATCTGTTGGAAACATCGCTGGTGTTCATTTATTACTGAAAAGTTTTAATTCAATTGTTTAGAAACAGGTACATAAATAAAACAAGGAAACATTTTTGTATTTTTCAAAACATAAATCCTCCTCAAAATGTGAAATAATTATTAAAATGTAAGTAGTCACCTGTTTTTCACATTACTAGTCGCGGGCGATTTTACGTACCTAAAACGATAGATTACCCTAGAATCTACTACTGTACAGACACATAGATATCTAGATTCTAAGTCTAGTGACTACAATACAACACATCACCACAGAAATCACAACACAATAACTTCAACACTCGTCTACTCAATTTCTTACACAAGTCAGTGAATAGTGATGAGTGAGTGAACATCACAAGTGCAACAAGAATAGTTTATATTATTATTAGAAATCTAGATTAGATCTAGATCTAGATCTGTCTAGACTCTAGATCTAGTTACTAGTTGTGATGTGTAGTCTGTAGTAACAACAAGTTCTAGAAATCTAGAATCTAGATCTAAATCTAGATTCTAGATCTATATCTATTCTATAGATCTAGAATCTAGATTAACTAAATTTAACTATTAATAAATTTAGATCTAGAAAGTAAATTTAGCTCACCAGTTGAACAAATAATAAATAACTAAAATCTTTTAAGTCGCCAATATTTTCTAAAACATCTCCCAAGAAATTTTAAGATTTTTTGTCTAAAAAATTATAGCAGTAGTCTCCCTTGGCTCAAAAACCTATCGACTGCTAGTGCGCCATCTGCTAGAATCAGACAGGAAAAGTTATGAGGTTCAGTTTGGGTTAAAAACGGAAAATATTTAAAGGGTTTCTTCAACTGTATGTTTACCCAGCAGTAATCATCTACGAAAAAAAATATAACCAAATTTTATTGATTGCTAAGGGGCGCCAATTTGTTGAAAAAAGCTCATTTTAGCTGCAGTTTTGAATAATAAATATTTAAAAATATGCTGGGGGGGGGGGGGGGGGGGCGCAAAATAGAAAGTCTGTCCAGGGGCGCCGGGAGGGGTCGCTCCGCATCTGATCCCCTAAAACGATACCATATTCAGTTTCTACTCCATTCTTCTACTCAGATAGTAATAACAAAAAGTCGGGGGAGGGGGGTTAGTGGTTTACTGTGTATTAAAATGTATTTACCAAATAAATTAATGTAAGCTAGTACCATCACACCCAAACCTACTGCACGCCTATTATTTACACAGGTGTAACTAAATCAGCACTGTTGTAAGGTAATATAAGTATTAATATGAGTGATTCTTTCAGGTATCCAACGTCACTCAAAACATGGACTAAATAAAATAATATATAAAATTTAAATAGAAAATAAATATAAATTACGGTAATATTTACTCCCTCACCCCTTCTAATTTTAAACTGCCCCCCCCCCTCCCCTCCTCTAGGAGCAATTTGTCCAAAAGACACCCTACATAACTGATGTCGTGGTGTCATTTTTTAAAAATGTATTCATATTATAGAAATACTTCATTGTAAATGAAGATACATTGACTAGTAGGGGGGGGGGGGCTTTAAGTTCAACAATTTGAAAACAAACTACTTTTAGATTTAAGTCAATGTAAAATCCAGCAATACATCAAGCGGAGAAAATGTAAAATTAAATTTTCTAGCTGAAAACAGGTGTGCAGCTAGATTCTGTAGGTTGCAATGTTGTTATGTTTTAATTTTTTGTGACGTGTTTAAATCATCCCCCCCCCCCCCCCCATTTCTTCCCTCCCTTTCATTACACATTTAAAAATTCGAATGTTTTGCTAGTATCAACATTTTAAAATAAAGCTGAGTAGGCCTAAATCAATTTTATAATTACGTGTTTTAACTTTTGAAAACTTTCATTTTAACTTCTTGTTTTTTTTTTCCTAAATTTTTGGTAAAGTAAATTTTGAAATGTGTGTTGTGTAGGCCCATTCAGTTCTCCTTCAACAAATTATGCTTTCTTTCTCACTGTACAGAGCCTCAAAAATAGAAACAAGAGTAGCTAGCCTTGCATAAAGCGAGGCTACTCTGGTTTAATTGATCTTTTAGCAGACCACCCAATATTATTAAGAATATTTTCCATTATTTTTTTAGTTTACAACATCACTAACTTAACTGTTGATGCTAATAAAATTAAATTCATAAACGACGTAGATCTAGATCTAGACCTCTAGATCTAAATGCAATTTTAGGTAAGGGTAATTTAGTAATTATATAGATCTAGAGGCTAATTCTATTAAATTCTAATCTAATTAATAGTAATTAATTTAGGGCTTAGGGCCTTAGGGCTTAGGGGCCTAATGTGATTTTAATTTAATTTAATACAAATATCTAGATCTAGAATCTATTCTAGAAATTGGGGGGACGATCTGTCCGGGATTCAAAGGGTCGATTCTAAATATTATCCAAATAATCTATAACTATTTGGTAATCTATCATTTTGGGTACGTAAAATCGCCCGCGACTTGTAATGTGAAAAGCAGGTGACTCCTTAAATTTTAATAATTATTTCACATTTTGAGGAGGATTTATGTTTTTTAAAATACTAGAATGTTTCCTTGTTTCATTTATGTACCTGTTTTTAAACAATGGACACGAGCGAGAAAAGTCTCAAAGGTATTTGAGAGGTGCATAAATTAATTTAAAAATCTTGCACGGCGTAGTTACAATTAATATGGTTATAAAATCCTGTCTTTCTGGTTATTTTTGGACTTTACTAAAGATTGGACGTATTTGATGTTTTTAATATTTTCGGTAACTAAATAAAATTTAAAAAAAAAGCAAAAACAATTTGGTTTTCACGTGTAATGGCGACATAAACAATGGCATCCTGCTATTGGATAGGCCGGCATAGATTTTATTGTACACATTGTAAGCTAAAAATAGAAAACTCGGTCATGGGGTTTTAAATTTGCATTGTTATTTAAAAACTTGATCTGCAAAGTTTTGTAAACAAATAGTTATCGATCACTAAGTTACTGTACAGCCAATCAATATTTGTCTTACGAAAGTGAAACATCCGGTTTAAACTTAGGCTTGATGAAAATAAATAGAGATGTAGCCTTAAACTCAACAAATTATTTTCAAGTTCTCTGGATTTGCAACTTTTATAGCATTTATTCTAAAAATATAAAATTTCTAAATTAATTTTAGGCTTAAGTTTTTATTTTTTATTTTTTTTACGGTCTAAATCTAAAAAGCACGTTTTTACTCCATGTCAACAACATTATAGAAGGAATCTCGTCAACTCGCTCACCTCCATTGAATTAAAACTTTTCACTAATAAATGAAGACTAGCGATGTTTCCACCAGATGCAACCATACTCATTTACTATAACTATAGCAGCCATGTTGTTAAAGTTTTATTTTTATAAACTTATAGCGCGAGATTCAGGGGGAAGCCAATCTATTTTACAAATGGCTGCTGTTTATATAGCAAATCTTGCTCGCAGACACTGCTGTTTAAAGTTAATTTCGGGCCTTTATTGATATATTTAGCCATTGATTTAGGTTTATTATTCATTTATCTATAATATTTGACACAAACATATCACAATACACATCTATTAAAGCCTTGACAATGAGGTAACGTTTTCCTACATTAATAGCCGCTGGCGATTTTACGTACCCTAAAGTAAAGGATAGATTACCCTATATTTATATTTAATATTTAGGCCTTGCCTCAAGGCCTATAAAATAATTAAGATTTATAAATTTTTAGCCTATGGCCTATAGAATAGATGTAGATAGGGCCTAATTATTAATTATTATTTTTAGATAAATTCAGAAATTCAAAAAAATTAAATGTAAGTTATAGGCCTATTGGCCTATAGTAAATAGGGCCTACTAATACTATTAATACTATTATGTGAACTGGGTCTAGAACTAGATAATCTAGAGTATTCTAGATTTTACTAGAATCTAGCAACATATAGAAATGTGAATAGAGTCAATAAGAAGTAAGACTGGATCTTCTCTAGAGTACCCTACAATATGAAGTTATTAACAAGGTGGCACACGACATGGATGATTATATGGAGCCATGGACCGTACACGGCATCCCTGTGATAGTATAACCAATGGCTCCCAAGAGTGGCATCCTGTTACGTTCCTGACACCAGGGTGGTTGCTGAAGTGTGTTTTACCTTACTATTACAGTGAATGATTAACGTACACTCAAGGCTTTCATACATCACGCCATGGGGCATGCTGGGCTGTAGTGTGGACAGAGTGTGCTCCAATAAATAATTACGATCCTAGAAATATTGCGCAGGCATTGTTTACATTTAAATAACTCAATTTTTAAAAAATAAGGTCACATGTCTTAGAATATAGGATTGGTAATGCATTGATGAAACCCTCTTTAAATATTTCTTCAGACTTTGTTCTGAGAAAGCGTCAATGCACGGAAGGGGCAGGTTAGTTCTTAATATAAAGTAAATTGAATTTGTACCAAAGTGATACAAAAACACACAAGCTTAGTGCTGAATAACCCTACAATTATTAATTATATTTTTTACATATCAAAAAAGTATTCTCCACTACCCACCTGCCCCTCATTCTATAATCAATGTCTTAATAATAATATTTTATAATAAGTTGTTTCCCTTGTCAACCTCTCTAATGCTTTATTTCATCAGCTCTTCACAAAGTGATACTGACAAAACAGTATCTCATTATACCAGGCCTGATATAATGTCCAGCTAGGAAAAATGTAAGCACTGAAATTATTTTTACTTATTTTAGACTTACTTAAATTATCAATAAAATAAATATAAATTAATTTAATCCAATATGTGAATCTGTAATTTTAAAAGAAAAATGACATCAGTAATGTTGTGAATAGTAATAACTCACTCAGAGAGCTGCAAATATTTGCTCCGTCTAATTGAACAGAAGTGAGATTACTGGTCATGGTCTAGTGGTCAGTGACACATGTCCAAAACATGCTAAGAGGGTTTTAGTTTAGGGATAGCAAAAGGTCACCAAAAGTTAAAGCAGTTGTTTTTAATTTTGTAATAGACAGATAAAGCTTTAAGATGAAGGCTGTGGTTAGAACTTGGGCATGGATTTGTTATCATTTTTTTATAATGCTATTTTTTAATTCCCTATACTGACAACAATGATGTAAACTCATGTTTAATAGGAAGCGAAGATCTTATTTCTACTAGTTGTACCACTTGACATCCCATGAGTTGTTCTTGGTCATTTATTGTGTTAAATAGGATACTTACTTAACTTAATCCTCATCACTCCCTGTGGAGTATAGGGCAGCAACAAATCTCCGCCATTCCACCCTGTCCTGGGCGAGCCACTTTAGTTCATGCCAGGTTTTGCCAGTAGCCTGTACTTCTTCTTCCATCTCCCTCCTCCATGTTCCCAGTGGTCTTCCTCTATTTCTCTTTCCGGGTGGGTTCCACTTCAGCGCCATGTTGGGGAGTCTTTTTTTGCTCATGCGTAGGACATGGCCCAGCCATCTCCATCTCCTCGTTCGAACTTCTGAGACAATGTCGTTTAATCCTGTCCTTCGCCATATTTCCTTGTTCGGGACTTGTTAAATAGGATAGTACCAATAATATGTATATTGATCATAAAACAGAGAAAATATAGAATGTTTACCGTTCCAAGTATTTTTTACATCAAAAGTCTAATATTACAAATAATACAATTCTGTTAGACTACTGTAGATATTGATATGTATATGGTGGTCTACCAGAGCAGACGCACCTATACATGGTTGATTTTATGCAACTTTTGTTATTTCTTAAAATAAGTTTAATATCGATAGACTTAATTTGCTTTGTTTTTAACTCTTAAAAACTTGGGGAAATTAAGGATGTAATAGCATAATTTTGTCGTAATTAATATAAAAGTAGTGTACTACAATTTTCTCTCATTTGTGTTATTTTAGAGCTGTAGGACTCAACGCCATGTTTCAAGTAGAAGAAGAATTAAAAGGCAAGTTTAAGTCAATTAGTTCTTGTATTAGTTCTTATAGCATATTAGATGTGGGTGAAGGGGCATGCATAGAGTATATAAGTTTCCTTTCCAAACCTGACTGTCCATGGGGCAAGTGGAGTAAAGTTCAGCTGTTTCTTTAACCTCACCATATGATTGGATAGTGTGGTATGCACAAAGCCCAGTCGCCTTTGCTTTCCTCAACATAAGTTCGGTACCCATCATAGCTGGGTGGACTCAGGGATGTTCTACTGACTTGAAAACTGATTTAAACTCAATACTTGTGACTTAGGAGTCTAGTTCTTTGCTGCTAGGTCATACCCGCCCTTCATAGGGTATATGTGCTGCTGGTATTTGTGTGTGTGTTTATCTACTGACCTAACAAAACAGACCTAAGAAATCCATTACTAACCATAAACTAAACTCTACATAGTCCATAGCCCTAAAGTTTACCTATTACATGTAAACATTAATGTTGGTATGGCCAAACAATAATAAACTTTTAAAGCCAGTGTGTATAGTAACATCAGATGAACAAATATTTAGCAGCATTTTCCCTTTGAAGTCTTTGCTGGCAACCCTAGCTGAACCATTAGACAGATCAATAGAGCCCATAGATAATGATACACAGGCTTATCAGTGATATCCCACCTTATCAATAGACTCCATAGCTAATGATACACAGGCTTATCATTGACATCACACCTTATCAATAGAGCACATAGCTAATGATACACAGGCTTATCAGTGATATCACACCTTATCAATAGACCCCATAGCTAATGATACACAGGCTTATCAGTGATATCACCCCTTATCAATAGACCCCATAGCTAATGATACACAGGCTTATCAGTGATATTACACCTTATCAATAGACCCCATAGCTAATGATACACAGGCTTATCAGTGATATCACACCTTATCAATAGACCCCATAGCTAATGATACACAGGCTTATCAGTGATGTCACACCTTATCAATAGACCCCATAGCTAATGATACACAGGCTTATCATTGATATCACACCTTATCAATAGACCCCATAGCTAATGATACACAGGCTTATCAGTGATATCACACCTTATCAATAGACCCCATAGCTAATGATACACAGGCTTATCAGTGATATCATACCTTATCAATAGACCCCATAGCTAATGATACACAGGCTTATACTTATCAGTGATATCACACCTTATCAATAGACCCCATAGCTAATGATACACAGGCTTATCTGTGATATCACACCTTATCAATAGACCCCATAGCTAATGATACACAGGCTTATCAGTGATATCACACCTTATCAATAGACCCCATAGCTAATGATACACAGGCTTATCTGTGATATCACACCTTATCAATAGACCCCATAGCTAATGATACACAGGCTTATCAGTGATATCACACCTTATCAATAGACCCCATAGCTAATGATACACAGGCTTATCAGTGATATCACACCTTATCAATAGACCCCATAGCTAATGATACACAGGCTTATCAGTGATATCACACCTTATCAATAGACCCCATAGCTAATGATACACAGGCTTATCAGTGATATCACACCTTATCAATAGACTCCATAGCTAATGATACACAGGCTTATCAGTGATATCTCACCTTATCAATAGACCCCATAGCTAATGATACACAGGCTTATCAGTGATATCACACCTTATCAATAGACCCCATAGCTAATGATACACAGGCTTATCATTGATATCACTCCTATATGAAAATGTAAGATAGGAGAGAAAAAATTGTGTAATTGTCAGCTAGTTGATATTGAAGTAAGATGGATTTAGAAGGTTCCAGTGTATTGTTGCAATGTAGGCTAATAGATGTGACGTATGTTTATGTTGGTGTTGTACTGGTGTTCTACTGGTGTTTTACTGGTGTTTTTGCAATTGTGGAAGTAACACAGCTCCACCAATGGGTAAGAGAGAAATTCAGGGATTCCAACAGGAATTGACATAACAATTGCTTTAAGTAACAATGACTGTTCGATAGGACTCCTCTTCATTACTCCCATTTCCAACAACCTCTACACTACACGCAACTGGCTTAGCGGTAGAGACCTAGACTGCTAACTCTCAAGTCGAATTCAGTAGACCGTCCGTGAGTCCACCCACCTCTGATGGGGCTCGACTCACGTTAGGGAGAGTAAAGGCGGCTGGGCATATTGCTGACCACACCTTCTCTTCATATGCCGAGGTCACAGAAACAGTTGAACTCTACTTTCCCCATAGACCGTCAGGTTTGAAAGGGAACTTTACTACACCCAACATCTGATCATTCAACATTGAATTCTTTTACTGTTTTTACTTTACTGTAGTTTTAAGAACAAAATTTTTAATTAATTTCGTGGGTTTATTTTATGCGGCTTATTGTACTTTCTGCTGCTGTTAGCACTAGGCACACTACAAAAGTTTTCCGTCGTCCACGACAGAGGCGTAGCGACCCTTCCCGGCGCCCGGGGACAAACTTTCGATTTCCACTCCCCCCCCCCCCCTCAAACTTTCGATTTCCACCCCCCCTCAAACTTTTGATTTGCACCCCCCCCCCCCCTCCTCAAACTTTCGATTACTTTTTCCAACCCATGTTGACGCCCCCTAATGTCGGCGCCCGGGGACATATGTCGTCCCCCCTGCCCCTTCCCCCCCATCGCTACGCCTCTGGTCCAGGAGATAAACGTGTTCCACACCCATACATGAACCACAACCCCATTGTCAAAAAATATATCCCTGTAACGTGTCGGGGAGTATTGCATGAGCATTACAATGCTGACACGCAGGCAAAAACGAGCGTGAGTGATTTCTTTTTGTGCTGTTGTTGTAGTAGATACACCTCCGTTGTGGTGGTGCCCTTTTGTTCCGTATTTCCCACGCGTCTTCTGCGTTTGCTTTATTTTCTCTTCCTTGTAGTTTTTTAGACCGTAAATGATGTCACGCTATATTAGCCGCTTTTTATCCCTGGTCACAAAATATATATCTTCTCAAACGCACCCACCCTCTTTCCCCCCCCCCCCCCCCACGTTGACGTCTATAAGTTCCCTATGTAAACCTTTTAGAGGTGTTTTTTTTTTAAATCACGTTCTTTAAAAACAGTCAAAATAAAAGGTAAGTTACATTTCTTGACCCCTTTCCCCCACGTATACTTCAAAAGTCCGACCCTCTCCCCCTAAGTGTGTGATGATGTCATTTACCAACACCCCGCTCCGGAAGTTTCAAGTTCCCTCTCCTGAGAAATATGTCTGAAAGAAACCCTCTTTAAATCCTACCAGTTGTCATCCGATCGTCTGTGGTTATATTGTTTTTGTGGATTTTGTGGCCGGAATCTATCCATATGTCTAATTAAACCAGTTGTTGTGGAGCCTACCATAGGCATGTGTGTAAGGTGCTCGTGAGTACATTTTTCTACTCTTTGTTTGACTCCATTCTATGACTCTTACATTCACTACAGATAGATGGATAGATAGATAGATAGATAGATAGATAGATAGATAGATAGATAGATAGATAGATAGATAGATAGATAGATAGATAGATAGATAGATAGATAGATAGATAGATAGATAGATAGATAGATAGATAGATAGATAGATAGATAGATAGATAGATAGATAGATAGATAGATAGATAGATAGATAGATAGATAGATAGATAGATAGATAGATAGATAGATAGATAGATAGATAGATAGATAGATAGATAGATAGATAGATAGATAGATAGATAGATAGATAGATAGATAGATAGATAGATAGATAGATAGATAGATAGATAGATAGATAGATAGATAGATACTCATGCTACTCATACTACTCATACATTTTTATTATTTTTATATGAATGTTGCTTTTTATTCCTTATGTATTTTTTTCTGTAATTAGAATAATACAATTAATTAACAAAACTCCTAAGGAGGTATTTCTAGAAACCCCATTAGGTGTTAGTAAATTTGTAGCCACACGCCATCAATAACTACAGATTTTCTTCAGCCTTTGATTGTAATTTCCCGCAAGAATTTTTTTCACCACACACCCCAAGACGCTCCTTACCATCCGGGGTGGTAGATAATTAGTTTTAAAGAACGCTGTTAATCATTCGTGTATGGCCAACACAAGCTAACCTTTCAAGTCGTCGTTACTATCTCTCGGCGGAGGTAACCGGTTAAATGCCAATACTCACCCGTCGTATGCTTGAAGCGATACGCCAGTTCCCCTAGAAAATTCTTATCTGTCACCATGAGCAAAAAAAAAAAAATGTCACATTTTATTTCAGCGTTTGTTGTGTTTTTCCTTAGCTCCGCATGCATCTCGCGGCCTATATTGGCCGAGGTCGGGTCACACAGACGGACGCACACGTGTGCTTTCTTCATCTCACGGGCTGAAAGAAAAACACTTTTGATGTTATCGTGGAACTTGTAAGTCATACATTACCTCCTCTTTGCTTCTCTGTATAATACACCGGTGTGTTATGCCCCTTCGGTTGTTTTATACTGAGTGTTGTATCGGGCGTTTGGGCTTTAAAATAATCACCGGTAGAATGCCAGATAAAAATAGAGTAAATGCTTGATTTGGACGGCGGTAGGGTGCTAACCCGAAAGTCTCGAGTTCGAATCCGGGTCCAAGCCAGTAGAAACGTCCCTGAATCCACCCGGCTCTGATGGGTACCTATCTCATTTTAGGCAAAGGCGGCTGGGCATAGAACTGGTCACACCTTCCCTTCATATGCCGAGGCCAAGAAACATGAACTCTGCCTAATGTGTCGCTAGACCTAAAGAGTATTCTTTACTTTACTTAATATGCTTGACTGTGTAGTTACTTTTTCAAACCTAGCTGTCCTGGATTGTGTATACTTGTTTATTAAAAAAAAAACTCATTTTGAAACCGTCAGTTCTAATTCTAATTCAGTTACCTTGAGCGTCAGTTCTCGTACCCTCGTTAGCTACCTCTCAGTGTCGATTATCATCCTCTGTTAGCCGTCAGATCGTATTCCATTCACTGGACGCACTTTTCTCAAAGAACAAAATAACTTACATGTTTTACAACAATCAGTTAACATAAAAGCTGTTCGATAAATACAACTATGTACTTCAATAAGTAGGAGCCTATACATTGAGATTTGTAGATTGTGTCCATTGTGTTACGTTTACAATCATCAGGTGGTCAAATCTTTTTTTATAAAGGGTCTGTTTAGGTTCGTTAAGCCAGTAGCCAATGTAGCGATAGAACAGAAGTTTATTCCTTTATTTCTTACACCCCCCACCCCCACCCAATCTGAAACAGGTGGAATAGGACATTACACCCATGTCGATAATCCTACATATTGGCTTTAATCGCAAGATGAAATAAGAATTTGGATTAAGGTTCGCACTAGTGTTGGGATTAAAGAGAAGTTTATTCTACACTTTCCGCAGTCCCCTGCTTTAGAATGGCGAGAAAAAGTTTAATATCCTGTATAATTCCTACTCTGTCAATCCATTTCAGGCCTTCTTTAAAATTCCTGTGTTTTCACTTTGCTTGTAACATGTATAATAGGCATTCTCTAGATGGGGAAGGGGTAAACAAAATTTAAGGTGAGATTGACAGGGGGTAATGGCCGTTGGGTAATTACCTAGACACGTGTCGTGAAAGATGGGGGTGTGGGGGCTGGGTTCCCAGAAAGAACCGCAACGGAAAAAAGCGCAACGGAAAAAAGCGCAAATCAAAAAGCGCAACGGAAATAAGCGCACACGGAAAAAAGCGCAAAGAGAAAAAAGCGCACACAGAAAAAAGCGCAAAGAGAAAAAAGCGCAAACGGAAAAAAGCGCAAAGAGAAAAAAGCGCACACAGAAAATAGCGCAAACAGAAAAAAGCGCAAACGGAAAAAAGCGCAAAGAGAAAAAAGCGCAAACGGAAAAAAGCGCAAACAGAAAAAAGCGCACACGGAAAAAAGCGCAAACGGAAAAAAGCGCAAACGGAAAAAAGCGCAAACAGAAAAAAGCGCAAACGGAAAAAAGCGCAAACGGAAAAAAGCGCACACAGAAAAAAGCGCAAACAGAAAAAAGCGCAAACGGAAAAAAGCGCAAACAGAAAAAAGCGCAAACGGAAAAAAGCGCAAACAGAAAAAAGCGCACACGGAAAAAAGCGCAAACGGAAAAAAGCGCAAACAGAAAAAAGCGCAAACGGACCATATGGACTAGATGACACATTTATACATGACTGTTAGGGCTGCTGTGAGAGTGTCGTGTTTGATCACGTGATCTACTACCATTTAAAGCGTACCACTACCATCTGCATTCCCATCACCACGATACAGGCGATAATCACTTTACACAATGCCTATTATTTTCTTGGTCAATAATTATTCAACTACTATTCTCGTATAAACATAAAACTATCGACATTACACGAAGTATCTTTCACATTCTCCCTAGTCCGAACTACCTAGCTTGCATACTATAACAACCCGTTCCTATGGCAAAACTTCACTCTCTTTCATCCGCGTCATCAAACATGCATTCGTCATATCTCTCGTAACAACATTCATTCGCACCAAAATAACAATTTTGTATTTAATATTTTTTCACATCATGACGCACCTACCCACCTACCTACTACCCACCGAGGGGTCTATGGGGGGGGGGGGGGTTATGACCCCCCATAAACCCCCCCTGCCTACGCCCTGCCTACGCCACTGCATTTAAGTATTCGCATAGATTTAGAGTAGCGTCCCTTTTGTTTACATGTTTTCATTACCCTTCAAACAAAAGTCTATTTTAGTTATATTGAGATTAAAGAATGTAAATAAATAGTATACACAATTCTGTAGAATAGGAACGATTGGGAGGGAAGTGACATTGAGCGCAGTAAATTTAGAGGTTAGGTAGGGTATAATAAATGGTGGGGTTAGGAAAGTTAAGGGGTCCATTCTCTAATAGGCAATCTATGTCTCTTTCGTACTTTCGTGTTGGTTTATTGTCGAACCTGTCCTCACCTCACATCACAACAGTTGGGTGACGCTTACCGTGTAATGTTAAAATAAATAGCATGTAATTGAGTTAGTTCGAAGTGAGTTTTCATACAAGCCCAACGCACTAATTAAGGTTGTCGCAAAATGTAACATATATGTAACATATGTCAATGATGTCAATGAATTTTCATTAAAAAAAAAGATGTCTAGTACAGTTTACGAAACTTACGAACTTCGCCGATACTTTTTTGGTGGGTAGTTTGGTAAGTATGTAGGCGGGTAGGTGGGTAGTAGGTAGGTAGGTAGGTGCGTCATGATGTGAAAAAATATTAAATACAAAATTGTTATTTTGGTGCGAATGAATGTTGTTACGAGAGATATGACGAATGCATGTTTGATGACGCGGATGAAAGAGAGTGAAGTTTTGCCATAGGAACGGGTTGTTATAGTATGCAAGCTAGGTAGTTCGGACTAGGGAGAATGTGAAAGATACTTCGTGTAATGTCGATAGTTTTATGTTTATACGAGAATAGTAGTTGAATAATTATTGACCAAGAAAATAATAGGCATTGTGTAAAGTGATTATCGCCTGTATCGTGGTGATGGGAATGCAGATGGTAGTGGTACGCTTTAAATGGTAGTAGATCACGTGATCAAACACGACACTCTCACAGCAGCCCTAACAGTCATGTATAAATGTGTCATCTAGTCCATATGGTCTTTGTGCTAAATTTCTCTTTTGCACATTTTTCGTTGTGTTTTTTCTGGTTGCGCATTTTTCTGTTTCTGTTTGCGCTTTTTTCCGTTTGCGCTTTTTTCTGTGTGCGCTTTTTTCTGTTTGCGCTTTTTTCCGTTTGCGCTTTTATCTGTTTGCGCTTTTTTCTGTGTGCGCTTTTTTCTGTTTGCGCTTTTTTCCGTTTGCGCTTTTTTTTGTTTGCGCTTTTTTCCGTTTGCGCTTTTTTCCGTTTGCGCTTTTTTTCGTTTGCGCTTTTTTCTCTTTGCGTTTTTTTCCGTTTGCGCTTTTTTCTGTTTGCGCTTTTTTCTGTGTGCGCTTTTTTCTCTTTGCGCTTTTTTCTGTTTGCGCTTTTTCTCTTTGCGCTTTTTTCCGTGTACGCTTTTTTCTCTTTGCGCTTTTTTCCGTTTGCGCTTTTTTCTGTTTGCGCTTTTTTCTGTGTGCGCTTTTTTCTCTTTGCGCTTTTTTCCGTTTGCGCTTTTTTCTCTTTGCGCTTTTTTCTGTGTGCGCTTTTTTCTCTTTGCGCTTTTTTCCGTGTGCGCTTATTTCCGTTGCGCTTTTTGATTTGCGCTTTTTTCCGTTGCGCTTTTTTCCGTTGCGGTTCTTTCCGGCGGGGCTGATTATTCCCTGGATCTGCTCACGGCGGCACTTCTTTTTATATAAACATACATGTGTGGCGGCTTAATGTATTACTGCGCCTATGGCCATAGCTTCGCACGGTGTTTAAAAACGTGAGATATCAATCTTCACTACACGTTCATACGTGGGTGTTGTACAATGTGATTTTAAACCCGTCCCTGTATAGCTTCACCATTCATAAAATGTGTAAAATATGAGAGATCAATCTACACGTTCATACGTGGGTGCTGTACAATGTTATATGGAGTGATTTTAGACCCGTCCCTGTATAGCTACACCATTCATAACGTGTAAAATATGAGATATCAATCTATACGTTTGTATGTAGATATTGTCTGTCGTTATATGGAGTTACTTTAACCCTTTGGGTGTGTCAAATACCGTCCAATCATTAATACTGCTTCACAAATCACAAAATGTTTACTTGATTACAATCTACACGTTTGCACATTTGTGTTGTCCGGTGCTGTACGGAGTGAGTTCTAGCCTTTGGTGTGTGTTAACCACACTGCCCATGTGTGTTAAGTAATTACCGTGATATCTCGTCGCACCATCAATCACGTGAGTTTAACGGGAATGTGCGATACAGCACCGCTAGCAGAATCTAGAAGTTTTGATTTTGTCAGCTGTATCGGGTGAGCACTCAACTACCCTTCCACTTTGACCCTGAGGCATGGAGAGCATTCGTAATGATAATACATCACCAGATACACCCCCACCCCCATTTTATTACCTCGCTAATGGACAACCCCCCCCCCCCCTCACACACACACACACACAATTTTTCAAATATAGATTAAAATAATTTACTGTAGGTTCTATTGTCAAACAGTTCCATAACACGTTTAATAAAAATTCCTTTAATGCTAATGAAGTAATAAGTTAAGGAGAAAAAATAACATTATGTTAAGGGTTTGTCCTGGATTAGCCGAAGTGTGACGATTTACTACTTAGCAAGTGGACATATGTCTCTATTACAATTTATATTTTGTCTTTACATGCCCATATGATAACACCATTCACTGACCCTGTTGATGTGCCGGTCTATTCCCACAATAGAGCGCCCTGTAGATGAGTCGGTCCCTATATACAAAGTACAACCGTGAGAGAACAGGCCGGTTTGCCGACATCCCTTCTGTATACCCGCCGTTATCACGTGCGTACCGACTCGACCCTTTATCTCCCAGCATCTTATTATACACAACTCACCCACAACATAAACCGGTTGCATTGGGTTTTTAATTGAGCTCAACCTACTATAAACTTTTACTGTCGGTTTTTTTTCTCCCTCGGTTGTACGGTTGTAATACCCCTCTCCCCTTTCCCCCCCCCCCCCCTCACGTTCTTGTACCGTGCGGTTCTGATCTGGAGCGGGGGAGAAGAGGGAAAGGTAGCCGCCTCGTCACCCGCTCCTTCCGTTTCAGTAGATTTCCTTGGTGCTGTCATTGGATGCCACTGACTGCGGTACTCTACGCTCGCCTTCTGAAGGTACGTTCATTTACTCTTTGATGTGGGAGCTTGGTATGGTGGGTTTTTTTCTTTCTTTCTGGTATTGGCGTTGTGAAGTCCTATGCATGTTGTACGGGCGGTTTTTATTTATTACTAGATGAAATACCCAGCGCTGCTCGGGATATGGCTTCAAAAAAATTATGAAATAAATTAAATATATTATTACATAAACACTAGATTTACACATTTGCATTTCTAGTGTTTTATTTTTTTTAAATATTGATTTAAAAGTCTTCCTCTTTTAGGCAAAGCTAGTTATATCAATCAAAGTATCACAATGTTAACCCATTATTTTAATTTTTCATCAAGTATTCAATTATTATCTTAGTGTTGTTACATTATTTCTTGATAGTTAAGTATAGTAAAGTAAAAATCTATTAATGGAACTAGTTCTACAGTGTACTTATGTATTTTATAATAATTTGATAACACAACATTACAACATGCAGTTTCTCAAAGCGCCTCGCTGCGACTCCAATTAAAGAGAGTTTTATCATTGGTTTTCTTATTCACCAAAAAAAATTTTTTTTTAAATCTATAATAATTTTCTACAAATTTGCTTGGTTTTTTTTTTTAAGGTTTCTTCCAAATATCTAGCTTTTGTATATGTTACAGAAATGGTTATTTTCACTATCCTTAAGACAAAAAGCAACACTCTAACTATTGTTCTAAATTAATGTTTACCTATTGTTTCAATACGATCGTGAACATGGACTGAACATTAGAGCATTGCTTGCAAGCAAAACTAATTAGGCGTGTGGGGTGCCTCCGTAACTCGATAAGTAAACTGGCTCAGTTATTTTGTCTACAGTCGACCGTTTATTTGTTCACCCCTGTTGGTCTTCTTATCTCGACATCTCGGTCTTCACCGTCAGGAGAACTTAGGTCGTGAACTGTGAGAGTTGTCATTAGACTAATGGGTCGTGATTGTTTTTGTTATAAGATCTAGAGGTCCTTGTTTTTGTTGTTATAAGATATAGAGGTCCTTGTTGTTGTTGTTATAAGATATAGGGGTCGTTTTTTTGTTGTTATAGATATAGGGGTCGTTGTTTATGTTATAAGATATAGGGGTCTTTGTTGTTGTTGTATTGAAATATAGGGGTCGTTGTTCTTGTTATAAGATATAGGGGTCGTTGTTCTTGTTATAAGATATAGGGGTCTTTGTTGTTGTTGTATTGAAATATAGGGGTCGTTGTTCTTGTTATAAGATATAGGGGTCATTGTTCTTGTTATAAGATATAGGGGTCTTTGTTGTTGTTGTATTGAAATATAGGGGTCGTTGTTCTTGTTATAAGATATAGGGGTCATTGTTCTTGTTATAAGATATAGGGGTCTTTGTTGTTGTTTTGAAATATAGGGGTCGTTGTTCTTGTTATAAGATATAGGGGTCGTTGTTGTTGTTATAAGATATAGGGGTCGTTGTTGGTATAAGATATAGGGGTCGTTGTTGTTATAAGATATAAGGGTCGTGGTTGCTTTTGTTACCTGACATAGTGGTCGTCGTAGCTTTGGTTAAATGACGCAAACTTTGAGTCAAAAAGTAATTATAATCTTGATGACCGTCCTATTTTAAAAGTAAATATCTAAACAATTTCTATTGTTTAGAAATGAAGCATTAACCCATGCAAACTTTGAGTCAAAAAGTAATTATAATTTTGATGACCGTCCTATTTTCTACACCGTGATGTCTGATTTAATATAGAACTAAGTAGTTTAAAACCGTGTATCCTGCTATTAAATTTAACACCCCTGCTCCCGCTAGTGAACCAATTACGTGTAGATAAACGATGTACTCGCCTCCAGTTCTAGACTTACCCTCTAACCCCCCTGCCAGTCAGCGGTGGACGATAGTTAATCTAGTGACATCCTCTGCACATGTAACCCAGTTAAATCTGCAACCTTGCTGTTTTTTTTTCTTCACCCACGTTCATATGTTGTTTTTTTTTTTTTTGGTGTTTTTCTCTTCACCAAGGTTGATATTTTTTTTTTCAACTTAGATCTTTGTTTTCCTCACTATCGTAGATGTTTTCCAACATCGTTTTTTTTTTTTTTTTTTTTTTTTTTTTTTTTTTTTTTTTTAGCCATCAACGCCATCAATATTTTAATTTTTATTTTTATTTGACCACCAATTTTTATTTTTTCACTAAGTCTTGATCCCCCCCCCCCCAAACCCCACACACGCATAAATATCATCATCCTTGTTTTCCATCTATCTCGGTGATATATTCTCCCGAACCGTTCATTTCATTTTGTCCGCCACTGTTTATTTTTTCATCACCAAAGATTTCTTTATTTCTCCACTTCTAAAGTTGACTACTTCTTCACGACTGAGGTCAGTTTTGTACTCTCCACCATCGTTGAGTTCCTGTTCCCCCCTGATAACTGGAATGTTACTTGACTTAGCACAATTTTGTTTATTGACTCAACCTCATCATCTTGATGCTTAAACCATGGGCGTCCGCGTCTTTCTTCACCCTGTTCCTCCCCCGGTTTAAAGGTAGCCAAGCCCGTCAATTAGTTTACAGCTACTACTCTCGCCCACAGTAAACCTACACCCAGAGGCGTAGCGAGGGGGGGGGGGGCGGGGGGACATGTCCCGGGCGCCGACCTTGAAAGTTTGAGGGGGGTGCAAATGAAAAGTTCGAGGGGCGGGGGTGCAAATCGAAAGTTTGAGGGGGGCGCAAATGAAAAGTTCGAGGGGGGGTGCAAATCGAAAGTTTGTCCCTGGGCGCCGGGAAGGGTCGCTACGCCTCTACCTACACCTTACCCTCACTTAACCTTACACCTATCTCAACATAACATTACATCCTACCCACACATAACATTACACCCTACCCCCACATATCCTTACACCCTACCCCCACATAACCTGACACCCTACCCCCCCCCCCCCCCACACACACACACACAGTAACCTGACACCCTAGCCTCACTCACACCAAGGGAGTCCAGCGGGTGGTGGTAAAGTTTGATACGGCTAACCTTCTTCACACGTCTAGTGAGGTAAGATATTTACTGATGTTCGTGTACCGTTTCAATGGTTACCGTCATCCGTTTATAACGGCGGTTAAATATACAGCTCTTCGTGTGCATGCAACCTAATTAAATTGTTACAACTCTACACAAAAAGGTTACTATTTCGTTACATTTAACACTGCTCTACATTAATCTAACTTTCAAATGCATAGTTCACATATCGCGTGCAGGTTAACCTAATTAAATTGTGAATAAGTCTACACAAAGTGGTTACCATTCCGTTACATATTTAATACCGCTCTACATAAATCTAACGTTTGAAAGGCCTAGTTCAGCCAAGTTGTTTTTATTTTTTGGGGTTGTTTTTTTTTTTCCTCGCTGGTTTACTCGGCCACGTGCGTATAGTTGTGACGTCATAGGTTGCACCAAGAATTCACAAGATATGCACTCATACAATTTCCCCCTGTTTTTTTCCCCTGCATATGTCTACACGCGAGAATCCTCATATTTTTTTTTACATTTCGGTAACCCTACAGTCAGTGAGTACGGTCTAGGTTTGACCCGTTGGTAGTTTTTTTTCTATTTCAACACCATTAGCGTGAGCACTTTTCACGTCAGTAAAGCTTGTTTTAACACCATCAAATAATTTAGTGCAATTTGTTGGGCCAACCGTTGTAAAAAGGTCAGTGTGCTTGTCAGCAGACCTCACGCGGGCACTTTGTTTTATAACTGGGCAGCTGTCGTTGACTGATTGTATGATTGTGTCTCAACTCTCATTGGCTGTATGTTAATGTATTTTACTAAGGTAAACCACATTTAATAAAGTATGTATTTTCTGTTATTTGCACTCAAACTAGAATTTGTTTTTCAATATTTTCTGTTATTAACACTCAAACTAGAATTTGTTTTTCAATATTTTCTGTTATTTACACTCAAACTAGAATTTGTTTTTCAATATTTTCTTTTAAACGAAATTGAATTGCTTTGAGATGGCTTGATAGTTTCGTAATTATTGAAAATGAAAGCATAGGAAATGGGTTTTTTGTTTTGTTTGTGTAAAAGTAATGAGTTAGATGCGAAGTCGAGATTTGAGTTTTTCACTTAGCTGCACGTACGTCAACAAACGGTAGTGTAGAGAGGTAGATAAAGCACACAGGGTTTCCTTCATGTCTAGTGTACACTTCCGCGGCTGCAGCTGTAGTTGAGTTGTAGCTGATATTATATTGTAAGCTTTGCGTAAGGCGTATGGTCATCTGTAAATAGTGGTGGACTGGCGCACCGGTCCACCGGGGAAAATACCGGTGGGCCCACAGGAAAATAACTCGGTGGGCCCCCAGGAAAATTACTCGGTGAGCCCCCAGGAAAATAACTAGGTGGGCCCCTATGAACGTTTCTGTAGTACATTTAATAGTCCTAGCAGTGTTTTGATTTTTACTTTCTCGTATATACGAAGTATAGAGAAAGTCTTGTAATCGTGCAAAAAAAAAATCGAGATTTTTACAAATCTCGACGTTTTACATCTCACTGACACGGAAAAAGATAATTTTGCAATCTTGTCCTTATGTCTGTGTGTGTGTCTGTGTGTGTGTGTGTAAACACGATAACTTGAGTACCGTTACAGCTAGGTTGATGAAATTTCATATAAAGTATTTTATCAAAATCGTAGATCCGTATCAAGTTTTGAGCGATTTCCGATAACCGGAAGTGGTACTTTTTCTACTTTGAATTATTCAAAAGCATATAACTTGAGTACTTTTTCAGATAGATAAATGAAATATTTCAGATGTAAGTAAAAGATCTAATTCTCTACCTTCTTTCAAATTTTAAGTAATTTCCGTTGACCGGAAGCACTACGCTATTTACGCTATTTCCGATTTCTCAAAAAACGCATGTGAATTTATAAAGTACAAATAATATTCCGCACTATTATACACATCTTTATTCGGCGTTCGCTTGGTGCGCAATTATTTTTTTATGAGATTCTATTCTATTTTAAAAAGTTT